TGTACATGTTTTGTTCTTATGAATGAATGAAACAAATAAATAGACATCTCTTAATATATTCTGACAATTCAAAATACATATTTAAGATATCTCTAATTATATTCTGACTTGTATAAATAACATCAGATTTATCATCATGTTGTTTGGAGACTCCAGTTCAACATATCTTAAATTTATCTTTAGATATGAGATTCACTATAAAAGGTTTAATTAATGCAAATTTCAGACTGTTTCATGTTCTGTAAATTGTCAAACAAAGCTGCTGCTGTTGATCTTTCTGTTTTCATAAACAGTCTTCCCAAGACAAATACTGAAACACTGGAAAGCTCTAAAAGAGTTGATTGAAGATGTTTTTGATAATAGAATTGACTGACATCCATGTTAATATTTTTGTAGCATAAAATAGAAGGTGAGTCACGTAAATTTATGTTTTCATAAAACAAGTAGCCCGCCAAGACCAATATCCTAGGGGAAACACTGAACTAGTTTTACTTTACTGCTCTGCTTGTGTGTTTCACTGTTTGCCTGAAATAAAGAGTGTAAATTAAAAACAATAAATCATAACTAGTATGTGGGTTAATTGAGACAGATTTAGACACACAAAGCAGGCTGGATTCTGAATATTTTATCATTGTGTGTGTCGTGATAAAAACTTTTCTTTAAATAAAAAGTGTAACATTGATTTTTGTTGCTGAGAGCTCATATGAGACAAAAACAGAGGAACTTTGGGAAGATATGTGACCTGCTAAGGGTTTGTTTTTTCTGATGGTTTAATCTAAATAATTCTGATTACTCTGACCCATCAGCTGTTCTCACTTTAAAAACTTTGACCATAACGCACTTTTGAGATTTGCCAAGCAAAAATCAAAAGCAGGTTCTTGAGGAGGCTGAGCATGTGAAAAGAAATCACATCTAAATGCAGTTTGTTAGCATTAACTCTGAGGTCACAGAGCTCATTAGCCAGCACACTTTACAAACCAAACCTTCTTATCAATGCAGCCCTGCTGCTCTCTGATTATCTGTAATCAAAGATAAACATGAACAACTCCAGTTTACTCAGTCATTACCTGAGTGTGTGCAGCTGGTGACCTCTGAAGTACAGGGTCACTGCTTTCATTGTTCCTCCAGGTGTCCGTGGTTCACATTTTGAACATGCAATGCTCCATTTCCCAACACAGACACAGTATTATAATAAGTACTGTAATGAGTACTGTAATTAGTACTGTAATGAGTACTTTAATGACATGGTTAATGATGTTTTCAGGGGATTAACAACTTTGTGGTCCAGTTTTTGTAACAGTTGAGAACTATCAAAAGTCTAAACTTTGAGACACTGAACATAACTTTGTTAACCTTCAATCATTTATTAACAATCAGGTTTGTTTTATGGGTTAACAAAATGAACAGAAAATATCAAAAAACATGTTCTAATGCTGGCTGTTCGACTGACCCTCATCTCGCCTGGTAAACTCTACATCCTTGACCGTCCTACCTAAGCCCTTCCCTTCGACCTTTTAGGCTACGCCAACGATGCTCGATTAGCTGAGGCGCTGCGAGCGGACCCGTCCCGGAAAGGCTCCGTGGTCAACGTTAACCCCGTCAACACTCGGCCTCAGAGTGACACACCGGAAATCCGCAAGTACAAGAAGAGGTTCAACTCTGAGATCCTGTGTGCGGCACTGTGGGGTGAGCACAAACACACACAGCTTGTGTTCACTGATGCAGCGCTGCAAATACACTCAAAGCCACATTATGGCCAACATGTTAGTGGTGTTATTGTTTTTAAGACTTACTAAACATAAAATTAACTGTCTGCAGCCTACAGCTATGATTCCACGTCTCTCTTTTTTCACTCTGCGGTGGCTCTTTATGGCAAAATAATCTAAAAATGAATTAAACTAGCATTCTTTGAAGGAGTATATGTTGCATGAAAAAACCTTAAACATGTCGGACGGTCTGTATGTGATGAGAATGAGTCATGGCTAGTACCACACCATAAATCATGTGTTTGCTGACATTAATTAGCTGTGGCTGCAGCTGTTTATTTTCTCAAAGATGGTTTCTTTAGTATTGATTTTCTCTTAATACAAACAGGACTCACACATAGCTGCAGAATATAAATTATAGAAACAGGGGCCTACACAAGAAAATGTATTTGTTTTTCTTGTTTTCATGAGAATTTAGTCATATTACTTTGTACCGTCACCAATAAAATATTAATAATAAGATTAATAATAATACTACATTTTATTTGAAAGCAACTTTCATGGCACTCAAGGGCACCATACAATTAAAATATAGTATATACTGCAGTAAAACACAAAAATGAACTAGAAGCACTCGAAGAGCGCAAACCTCTGCCAAGGCAATAGGGTCAGTTATGCTAAAAGGTTCCCCTTGGAAAAGTCAYGTTTCCAGTGCTTTATAGTAAATATAGTAACATCATGTTGCATGTATTTAGACATAATAATAAATGATGGAAATCAAACTTTCAATGTATTCAAAGATATTTAGCTGAAAACATGACCTCGCCCTTGGCGGAGGTAATAAAAGAACAAAAGAAAATAATAATAAAACATTGTACATGACATAATGTTAAATAAAGGTGATGAGAGACGGAGGTTAAACTGAATACGCCTGTTTGAAAAGAAGAGTTTGAATTCATGATTCAAACATGGAGATGGGAGGTGGGAGAGTTTTTGATGTCCGGTGGGACAGAGGTCCAGAGGTGGGCTGCTTAGTGACTGAACGCTCTTCAGCCCATAGTGATGAGACGAGCTGGTGGAAGAGGAGGACCTCAGACTGTAGGAAGATGTGTTCATGTGGAGAAGTTCTGTGAGATACTGAGGGTAAAGCTTAGGGAGGGCTTTGAAGGTGAGGAGCAACATTTTATAGGAAATGTGAAATTTGATGTGGAGCCAGTGAAGATGCTGTAGGACAGGTGTTATTTGACTGGTGGAGGGGGTTCTGGAGATGATACGAGCAGCTGAGGTTTGGACCAGTTGTAGTTTATGGAGGGATTTTGCTGGTAAACTGAAAAGGAGGGAGTTGCAATAATCTAGACATGATGTGACCAAAGTGTGAACCAGAATATCAGTACTGCTGGGTGAGAGGGATGGACGGAGAGGAGAGATGTTGTGGTAACAAATGTAGGCTGAACGAGTGATGTTACTGAAATGAGATTTAAATGGTAACGTGTTGTCTAGGATGACACCCAGACTCCTAACCTGAGGGACGGGAGAAACTGAGGTTCTGTCGATAAAAAGAAAAATGTTGTTGGTTTTGCGAGGGTTGGTTTAATTCCAATAAGAACAAATTCCATTTTGTTGCTATTTAGTTTGAGGAAGTTGCTTGTGAACCAGCACCTGATATCATAGAGGCAGTCAGACAGTGAGGGGGGTGGGAGAAGGGGTGGTGGACAGGTAGAACTGGGTGTCATCTATGGCTACATTCACACTGCAGGCAAATCCGACCCAAATCCAATTTTTTTGACCCATCTGACTCATATCTGATTTTTTTATGACAGTCTGAACGAGACAAATCCGACCCAGGCCGTTTCAGTATGTGGTTTTAAATC